TGAAAATGTCATGAACAATACCGCGCATGATTGACAGAGGTGATGCGAGCGGGAAGGATACCCCCTGCTTTGAGAATTCTGGCTCAGATTTTCTCCTAATTTAAAGAGATTATTAAAAAGTTTTCTCCGATTTTGGAAAAATATAATCGGACAAATTTTAGGCTACTTTCTCCGATTTTTGGGTACCCCCCCCCCCCCTGTTTTGATCTCTTCGCGCCGCCTCTGATGATTGGCTAAGGAGCAGATTATCATATATGGTGTTATGCATACGTTTTGTATTTCTAGCGTACTATGAATATGCCGTTTAAGTGTTGTTGCAGCTAAACCGCATTATTAATTAATCTTTCATGATCTAATGTCTCTCGGAGTCGATTTCTCATAAAAATATTTCTATAGATTTGTTGCCTGTTTACAAAAAAAAACTTTCTTTGGTTAATATGAAGTTCTATATAAAATTTTTTTAGCGTTTTGTATATATCAACCAATAATGTTTATTAGATACTATCAAACTGTGTTAGTTTAAAAATATACTATTAATAATAAATATATTATTTTATTTAAGTTAATTTCTAAACAAGTATACAAACATAAGTATTAGTTTTACAAAACAAGTACAAGAATAAAAATTGATTCACATAAATGAATTATATAGATTAATGAAAGGAGAGTGTAACAGAAAATCACTCTACTGTTCGATAAGAAAAAGCTCATACAATCATTGAGTCTTAATCGTCACTACGTTGCGTAGGAGCATCGTAACAAAACACCTGAGCGGTAATTCATCGCAGATAGAACCATTTTCAACATATTATAACTCAGAGTTGATAGCCATAAATGAAAAAAGTTGTAGTAAACTATACAGAATAACAAAAACTAACAATTGTGTCTTGATTCGATAATCCACTAAATGTGTTTCAGGCATGACCGCGATTGAAACTATATGCAAAACAATTTGGATTCATTTATTTGTTGCAATTCTAAAGAACTTGAACAGAATAAGTTGTTAACTATGATCATTAACATTCGAAAACAACAATTACAATCTTTATGTGACGTCATATGAAATGTACTCTATTTATTAATTTTATTTTTGTACTTTGAAAAATACTTTTTTTGAATAAAAATAATAATAATTTCCTGTTCGAATAATTGTACCTGGATATTCTGACAATTACATTTACATAGTAGATTATATCTAGAAGAAAATAAGTCCGATAAATTACTAAGCATGAATGATATAATTCAATTTGAATGACAGGAAAAAATTAATTATAGAAAAGTAATGTAGCATAAAAACGTTTGTTTTATATAAACATAATTATCTCTGTTATTTACAACAATTTAATGAGTATAATTGATATTCTAAGCAAAGAGGATAAGAATCTCATTAAAATATTTTAAAAAAAAAAAGAAAAACAAACTTATTTTAAAAGTACTTGACATTAAGAAAAACTGACTTTTATCTAACTATATGTAGTCAGGAATTTTACACTAATAGAATAATTATATAAATATGTTATTATATCAAAGTACTTTAATATGTACTTCGTTATTGAATTGTTAAATATACTTTAACAAAAAACCAAAGCATACAAAATATCAATATCGAAAGAATTTATATAGAGTACAAATCATATCATTTATAGATTAATCATTAATCATTTAAATGTCAAGATATGAAATAGTAACAAAAAAAAAACAGAACAAAATCTACTTGGGTCACTCTGATATAGAATATGATAAATTGTTTTATTGCTTATCTCATATTTCAATATTTGATTATTTTCCTATACAAAATATAATACGAAATAGAAGTGTATTATTTCGAATATTGTTAAATATTTGAAATAAAAGATTAAATATAAGTACATAAATATCTTAGTATAATCGATCAAGCAGAAAAACAAAGAACACCAGAGGTTAAATGTCTTTAAAATCATCTTATTTTTTCATGAAAATATATGCCTATTTAATGAGAATCGATTGATCATTTTCTATTGAATAGACTATAATTCTCTAAGAATGATTAAATTCAAGATATGTAATATCAGATTATAACTAAATATCATGAGAAATAAATCTAGACATTCAAAAACTTTCAAAATTCATTAAATTCTTAACAAAATTTATTCATTGTTTTTGTTTATTATTCCACATTAGAATCATTCATTGAATATTATAATAAATTGTTATCTATGTCACTAATATAATTTATTAGTTGATAATCTGATCCGAACATATGTTTGTCTATTTTCCTTTTTTTTTTTTTATTAGATCATACATATATTAACATATAAAATAGAATAATAATAAAAAAACACAAAATACAATCCATGCTATCAAAACAAAATAATTTATATTTGCAATTTTTATTAAAAAAAAAAAACAAAATTCATTTCTATTTCCTTCTTATTAATTAAGATAATATTTTAAGTAAAGGAATATATTAACACAATCAAAACTCTGATTGAATTTAACGCAAGAATGATAGTTTCAATATGAAATATATATATTTAAATTCGTTGTGTCAAGCAAATTTAATGTGACAAAAAAAAAAGAAAAGCAAAACTATTCTAAAAATTTTCTTTTCATTTAAGAAACTATGACATGTCTTTAACTTCTACATTTTCTAGTAAAACTTAATGAAGGAAATCAAACAATTAGTGGTTTTTTTCTTATTATCATCATTCATCCTGGAGAAAAATTTTCATCTATCGACATGAAATAAGAAAAAAAAAAAAACTAGAAAGTAATGTTGTTAGACATGAGAAGACATTATATATCCTAGTTGAATAAACGGAAATCCATCATGTATAGAAATATGAACTTTTCAACTAATAAGTCATTATATGTTTTTCTTTTTTTTTTATTCTCATCATAATTATCTTAGAAGTGAATATATATATTTTTTTGTCTCTAAAGAGAATGTGTTATTCTCTTGAGCATTATATCTATTACTTAACTGATCCATCTTATAACATTCCTTTATTATCAACATATTAAAGAATAATGTTGATTTTTATTATTTACTTTTTTTTTTTTTTTGTTTTTTTGTTCCCTATTGAATTTAGTTTAAAGAGTTTACGACAACTATTGTAAGTGACATTTGTTATTGCACTTGATAAGAATTCTTTTTTTTTTTAATTAGATCTTCTCTCTTTTCCCTTGATATACATTCTCAAAAAAAGAGAAAACATTTGATGAATAGAAATAGATAAGCAGATTTCCAGTATAAATTCCAAGGCCTTGTTATATGAATATAGTTTTTTTGTTGTTTCAAGTAAATAATAACAAAAACTTAAGTGTAGCTGAAAATGATCAAAAACAAAATCTCGTTATTATTCTCTTTCATATAAAATAGATTTTTAGAATAGAAATCGATAAGTAACTATCATTATTGAATGAAATTATTTGAAACAAAAGAAAAAATTCTTTTCTTCTTTATTAATGAATTAAAATCATTATTTCATCGTCGTTTATTTTTTCCTTTTTAAATTACAAAAAAAAAAGAAAGACGTATTTGTTTGATTATTTTATTTGTTTTTTTTTTCGGGCAATAAATGTTCTATAATATAAAATTACCGCCTAGAATAATTGATGTTCACGCTTTTTTTTTTTTAAATAGTTATTAATCTTATTTCATTTAGATTGAGAATTATGTAGGTGTTTGTCTGGAAGGGATTCAGCTGGAAACAATATTTGTTATTAATAGTAAAAAGTAACTGTTTGATCTTTCTTTTTTTGTATATGTATACATAGATCATTGATATATTGATCATGGAATGAGTTAGTTAGTTATTTTTTGCAAATACTCTTTTGAATGAATGAGAAAATAAGATAAGCAGGAAGTCCATATAGACACGAATGTATATGACAGACATGTTTTCTGTTTCCGTATATATTTTTTTTTTTTCTTCTTTTATATATCTTCGATCTAACAGTATGTGTGAAATAATTCTATACTAAGATCACTTTTACACTAATGAGTTTCCTGAGCTTATGTTTCTTCTTCTATATTATTTGTTATCTTCTTTTACCAAGTTAAGATAAATTTTTTGTTGAATAGACAAGCATGTATTGCTTATAGCCATTCTCATACTCATATAACTATATATTTTCTCGTTTTTTTTTTCTTTTTGTCTTTTCTTCTTATTACACATATTTGTCTTTTACCATCATTAAGAATAGCATCAATAGTATAGACAAACAGGCGATGTGAACTAATGAACATTAAAAAACAAAAACGAGAAGCAGACATAGAAGTTAATATATATTTGACATCCTAATACAGTTCTATCATATTGTTTTCTTTCATTTTTTTTTCCTGCTCTACATATATATTATTGTTATTTTTACTATTTATCTGATTGGTAAGATCATTTTTTTTTTAGTTGCATGTAAAAACGATGATGAACACGAGAATTCTCCTTCAAAAGTTATCAACAAGCTAATCAATTCTGACTTGCTATTGTCTTTGAAGGAGGAGAAAAAAAATTGCGAAGAAAAAAGAAAAAGATTTAAATGACAAATCATCATCATTTGCTTGACTAGATGAACATGCCAAGCAAGTCAGTAATAATAGAAAAAAAGAAAACCTTTCTTGTGTTGGGCATAAGCACTTCATATTATTGTTTGTATTACATAGTTTTGATTATTGTAGGTCGCCCTCATCCTTTTTCATATTTATTTCCTTTTCATTGCAAATATCATTAATATTATTTATCGCAATGAAACCTCAAATATTGACCTTTATATTATTTACAATTGGCGCTTTTTTGTTTCAATCAGCATATCAGGTAATTTCAAATAAATAAACAAAAAAGAATTCTAGGATTTTATAAATTTGATTTCTCTTATCTAGTACCGCCTCCAAAAACGCGAATTAACCGAATATGATGTATGTATATCAAATAAATTTCTACTTTGTTTTCGATAAAATATTTGTTCATATGTAGTTAACCAATTTTATTGTCAATACATGCTCTGCCGACAATGTCGAAATGCTTATCCAAAACCTTTGTGACCAAACATTACAATCGGCACTTATGGGCGTAAGTATTTTCTTTTCTTTTGATTTTCCTTGTAATAAAAATACATATCATGAATAATATTAATCATCATCAAGTGTTATATAGAAGAAATAAATGAGTTCATTTGGTTGATGATATATTAACACTCAATTATATTTGACTTGTTTTTTTTCATATGCAGTAAAAAAAAAAAAGAAAAAAGGAATTTATTTTTTTTGTTTTTTTTCTAATTTAGAATTTTCCATTTTTGACATATTATTGTAAAGTGATCGGTTCTGGAAATCGATATTGTGACAATATCAATCGGTATATATTGGCAACGCAGAATACAAAGCCCAAGGTAATTAATATATAGTGAAAAATAAATCATTTTTGAACTTTCTTATATTTCAAAATAGGATTTAATGTCTCGTCGATTTGTACGAAGTCTTTATGAAAATAATCAATTATATGAAAATCAAGAGGAGACGGATACAGATATAGACGTATGTTTAATTATACAAAAAAAAACCAAGAGAAATAAATTTATATTAATAGATAATTCTTTCATTTTTTTTCTTTTAGCTCAAACAAAAAATGATTCTACAAATGTGTCTCACAACTACAGAAAAAAATGCAGTAGAAACACATCGGTTTTGTGATCAAACATTAAAAGATATTCAGCGAGGAGTATGACAAATTATAATCTTTAAATCTTTTTTTCTTTCATCTATTATTATTAAATGGCATTTTTTTTATCTATTTATTATCTAGCGATACCCTGAAATTAAACGTCTTTGCAAATCTTATCCTGATTTGAACTATTGCCAACGTGTTCTGTCATTTTCATCGTTATTCTATTGGCCATTATCAAAAGAATCGTCATCTCTTTTATCATCATTACCTTCCACGACACCTAATATTTATCTTTCGTCCGTACCACTAGAATTCTCAAAATCGTCTGACATCAAATCGATCATTGATCAACCAAGAATGAATAAAAACACAAATAAATCACCATTATCATAATCGACAAAAAAAAAATCGATGTGTAAAAGAATCTTTTGCTCTAATCATTCTCTAAATTCTTCACAGACGTCATCATCATGTCAGAAAGAGAATATAATAAAGAAGCCGAAGTATAGCAAAACATGTAAAAAAAAAAAAAAAAAAAAAAAAAAAAAGAATTCCCTATCAAAAAAAAAAAAGAAAATCTTCTTTTCGTTTGAATGTGTCTAGAATTCGTCTCGTATAATATTACTATATCTGCATTATGTTGTTTTGTTCATTTGAATTTAAATAACAAATAACAATGAAAAAAAACAAAAAAAAAAAATAACAGCTTAATATTCAAAAATCATATTGAAAACATCATTTCTTTGTTCGAGTCATCCTCCGGTATTTAAGCTTTATGAGATATAAATAAACAGTCATAAAGATTGAATACCAAAGAGGCAACTCGTACAAATATTTTTGTGTAAAAAAAAAAAAAAAAAGAAAAAGAAAAAGCATATAAACATGCATTCAACTTGTGTAATATCTACCGTTTTGACAACATACATACTTGTTAATCTACGATTAGAATACTTCTATTAGAAGAAATCAATATGAAAGAAAGTATAAAATAAGCCACAGCAGGCGACAACCATCATTTAGTGAAGTGATGAAGCATATTGAAATATGTCTTACATATTTTTTTACTTGTTCGTCATTATAATCATCAAATACAATCTCACAGAGAAAAAAAAACACATGCAGCTTTCGTTTCTTATCGATCATACTACCTGTGTTCAACTATTTTACAATTGTAGTACATATATATATATGCCTGATCGTTTCTATATATTTTCGTTGACGGCATCTCTTTCTTCCAATCAACATTGTTTAAAACAATTATTTTTTTTTTATTATTATTCTAATAGTACATATATTTGAATGGTGAGAAAGAAGAAAAGAAAAAAAAAAGAATTTAATTTCGTTCTTTTCAATACAATAGGTAAGCATAATTGTCGTAAATAGCACGTTAAACATCAAAAGACCACTATATGATTGTTCCTAAATATTGAATTTAATACGACAAAATATATTATATATACATTGGCATGTTATTAAAAAGAATGAATACGACAGAATAATAATACGTTTATTGTTTCTTGATTCAAATACATTTATTGAATAGAGAAACTGAGAACACAGTGCTTACAAATGAAAAAAAAAACACATATGGAATAGCGAATTCACTTTTGATATACATACACGTAATACTAATTTTTTCATACAGAAAGGAATGACACGATATATGTCGAGTATTCGAGCACTAATAGCAACATGAATAAAAAAAAAGAAGAAGAAGAAAGTTTAGAAACCCCACTTATCAACATTTTTCATGAACTTTTTTTTTACCAAAAAATGAAAGTTTTTATTGCAAACATTGTCGTTTGAGCAAATTCGTTATATGTAAAAGAAATATATCAAGATTCAGAACTTCAGAAAAAAAGATTCATTTGTTTTGTTCTTAACTGCACATATGAAAAGAGAAGACAAATAGAAAAAGAAAAAAAGTATTTTGCTGCTTAAGTTATTGAGACAATAAGTATTGCAAATATTGAAAAGATGCACAAAAATTACATCAAAAAGAAAAAAAAAAAACGTTTGAAATATGAGATAGAACGACTGAATTGCAAATCTTTCACGATGATGTATTCAGAGATTTTCTACAATAAATAAAAAAAAGACAAACAAGATTTTTTTTTTTTTTGACTTACTGTAATACTTTACATTTTTCTTTTTCACCGATAGTTGCTGGCGGTTCACATTCGAATGATGCAAGCATTAGAGCTACACAAAAAAAAATAAATAATTAGAATGAAATAAGAATTTTTACATCTAATACTTACAATCTTCATTGAATGTCGGAGATGTAATAATATAATTGATAATGACGTCGTTTCGTTCAAATGAACACTTCAAAAGAAAAAAAAAATAATAGGATAGAGTAATTAGAGAACATAATTGACTGAGTTTAATTGATGAGTTTAGTTTACTCATGAAAGGATAGTAGATTAAGATGTCATCATATTAGTTCACTATGACACAATAACAAAATCTAATTTTCATGATATTTATTGATCTTATTTTCTTAGTTACTAAAAATAATATATTCAATTATAAAAAAAAAAACATATAATTCGATTAGAGATCTTTAAAAGAAAAAATGCTTGAAACTAAGAACATTTTCTAAGAAGTAATTATTTAAAATTAAAAATGTCTCGACAAATAATTTTCAATTATTAAATAAATATACATCCGCTTTTATAATAAATATTTTCTTCGTTTTATATAAAAAAAAATAAATTCTATATATAGGATTATTAATGTTACTTGGCATTGAGAAAAATATAAAGTAAAGTCGAAATATAAATCCCTAGAGAGTTTTATTTCATTCGAATATTCAACTAATTAATCTTAAATTATTATAATTAATTTTTTTTATTAATAAAATATCTCCAATATAGCATACTTTACTCTGTTTACATTGTACAAATTCTTGAGATATAAATTTAGCCATTGAATAATATTTCTAAAAAATTAAAAAAAAAATTAAATATTCAATAAAAATTTGAAAAAAAAACCTTTAAATTAATTCCACCAGCTGTTGTATAATCTTTACTATGTGTTTTTATATAATAAACATCTTGTAAAATAATACTTGTAAATGGTATAACAATTTTATCTGTTTTCCATTCATTTTTTTCTGCTTCATCCATAGCTACTTTAAGTATAAGACGATATGTAGCAAAATTTTTTGATACATTCATATATTGTTCAAGTTGTTGAAATTTTTCTAATTGAACTTTTGCCCACTGCAAAAATTATTCAAAGAATTATATATTACAATATAAAATAAAAAAATTATTTATTTATTTACAGTTCTTTTTAATCGTCTTACAGGTTGCATATTTAAACCACCTAAACAAAGATTAATAAATTATTGAATATATTATTCTTTAATAGACTTTTATTACTGAAATACAATGAAGAATAATTTCTTTATATAAAAACAAGTATTGTTTCATAGAAAGAAAATATATATTTGATTATATTTAAATATAAGATTGACAAAATTATGTGATAAAATGAAACTTTCTTTGACTATTGATCTATAAGAAAATCTTGACAGAACTTGAAAAAATTTTGTCGAGAGGCAAAAATATTATTTTTTTCTCAAAACAAATCTGTTTCCTGTAGGCATCAAATAAGTACTATGAATATGTAGTACTTAAGAATGATCTTTCAACTATAATATAGTTTAAGAAGCCAAAGTTTAGATTAATCTACTAAAAAACTAGCAAAGTTATAATAGAGGATCATTTTACTCTGATAAATTTTGTAATATATCTTAAGCGAATTCTATTTGAGTGAAATTTATGATCATACAAAAAAAAAAAAGATAATGAAAATTTATTTTCCAAAATTAATACTCAATGCTTGTGTGTGTGTTAATTATTATTTTTTTGTTACTGTAGTCTAGAATATTTTTAGCCTTTTTTTTTTTCTAATGATTAATAATACTCTTGAGATGAAATCTAATAAAAAATACTTTTGACATAGTATTAATATTTGTATTATTTAAGTCACGTATTCAGTTCAATGAATAAATGTATAATCTTGCCCATATTTTATTATAATGAGCTATATTTATAAATATTGTCACATATTACTAGACAATTATTATATGAATATTAAAATAAAGACAAAGATAAAAATATTATGACAAGTAATATTTCATATATATATAAATTAAAATTTTCTTACCAAGTATTCCAATCATAGAATTATAATTTCGTATTTGAAAACATTCATATGCAGCATCAATAAAATAATTAATTAATCGTACACGTAAACGTCGTTTTGTATGTTTAACAATTTCTGTTGTTATAAAAAATGTTAATCGATTAAACCATTGTATATAAGCTTCAAGACAAAATGTTAATTTTGTATCATGTACTAAATTTTTTGTTTTATTATTAGAATCAGATATTGATGATTCTTTTGAACAAATTTTATTTGGATGTGCTCGAGCTTCTTCAGAAGCTAATTTCATTATAAAATATTGTATTAATTCTTCAGCACCAACTGGTTTTAATCTATCCTACGAAAAAAAAATCAATAAATTAAAATAAGATTAAATTATTCAAAATAATACCAGTTCAATATGAGTTAATTGTTGAGCAAATAATATTGGTGTTGAACATTCATTTATAATGTCCGTCTAAGAAAAAAAACAAAAAAAAATTTTTTGTATTGTTTTTATTTTCAATAAAATAATTAATTTACAACTAATGCTGATTGATTTAAATAAACCAGTGTTTTTTTATTTAATTGTCGAATATATTCTTCATAATTATCTAATGCTTTAAGCTAAATAAATAAATAAAAAATATTATTTTCTTTTAAATTAATTTTCTTTACTTTTGAACGAAGTTTTTTATAAATATGTTGTACATCTGATTGAAGACTTGATTCAAAAATAGTTATTTTTTTAAAAAGATCTTCAATTTGTGACATCATTTCACTATTACGAAAATCATATGGAAATGTTCGTGTCCATTGTGATAGTACATAAAGAAAATTATTTAATGTTCGAACACTTTGATCCTTTCAACAACAAATATAAATTAATATTTAAAAAAAAACAAATTTTTCTTTTTTTTTTTTAAATCATACCATTGTTAAATTTGCTATTGATTTTATTGTTAAACGTGCTAATTGATTAAATAATAAACTTGGTCGAATATTCATTCGTGAACATAATAACATTGGATAAATAAATGATTGCTAGAACAAAAACCGATAAAGAAAAACAAAAAAAATTTTTTTTTTTCTTTAATACCTTTGGAATATAAGTATCAGTAGGTACTAATCGTCGAATAAGTGAATCCATTGAATAATATAAATAATCAAGTGGTGGATCATCATCACTTGTTACTTGATTCGATGATGAATAATCAAATGTTGGTATTGGAGTA